GATGAAATATCAAAATACTAACCCATTTTGATAACACCATTGGAGAACATAATTTCTAAATTTTAGGAGTCAAATAGTAGTTAAGAGATTTGATAACTCATTTAATAACTCCATTGGAGTTGCTCTAAGTTCCGCACTTTGTACGCTCGAAATTATGTTGGATGTTGATGAAAATATTATTTTAGTTTGTTATTTTGCAACCCGAAAATTATAAAAGAAAAGAAAAAGAAATAAAAAGCAATAAAAATGAAATTATCCTCACTAGGGTCACGGAGAATGATTAATTGTGTTTTAAGGGTGCAAGGTGCTATTATTCTTTACAAAAAAATATATTTCAAGGTGCCAGGTGTGATTAAGCCGATAATTTTTACATATAATAAGGCTCTTGGTGCTAGAATAAACAAGGAAAATTGGATACCTAACTTAGGGCTTAGATCTTGAGTAGTATGCTTTTGTACATGACTTAGGGTTGAAATTTGCAGAGATTAATTCCTTGGATTTAATTAGAGATATAACTTTATGATTTTAGCAAATAAATATATGCATTTCAAGTAGTTTTAAAAACAACTTTCAGTTTCTTTCGAGAGTTTAACAAACAAATATGCGTTCCAAGTAGTTTTAATGGAGAACTTAACCAGAGATGTGAGTTAGAAAGCTCTAAACAAACGAGAGTTTAAAATGTAGAATTTGTGTGTTGTTCTCTATGTGTCCTTGTGTGCGTACGTGTGTGCATTAGTATATGCGTGTTCGTATGTTGAAATTAGAAAAAAAAAAAATTGGGCGTTTAAATGTAAAAATATAAAAATGGCAAAAGACTTTTCGTAAAATTCCCTCCTTTTAGTATGCATATAAGTTATAATGCGGACAACACGAAAAGGCAAATATTATGGGACAGAGGGGTACTAAGTAAAACCAACCTGTTTTGAAATTATACTCGTAATTTCGTCGTTTGATAGAGGCATGTACGGGTCTCCGGGTGCAATTATACATCTGTAATCAAACATAATATTAAATAAAAGAGTAAAAAGCAGTTTGCCCCCTAAACTATGGCTCGTTTTGCACTTTGCCCCCCAAACAAAAAAAATTTACACGTTTTTACCTGAACTCGTTAATTCGTTGCACGATGCTTCATAAAAGGAATATTCCGGCAATTTTGACCGGAATATTACAACACGTGTGTTGCACATGAGATTTTAAGGGGCAAATTTGTCCATTCAGTTACATTCTATATTTTAATCATTAAAAAATAAAAAATAAATGGGACTGTCATCCCGTCAGACCAGGCCACCACCCACCCATCCCATATCCCAGTAAAAAATTCTCATCATTTTTCGTGTTGCTCCTCTTCTTCCAATTTAGCTTTCATCTTCTCTTCGATTTTTCCCCTCTCGTTATTTTCTTTTTATATCTGTTTCTCTGGCAAACAAAATCACTGAAGACAAATGGGACTGTGACGGTGGTGATTTGTCTTGCTCCTCTTCTTGTTCTACATGATTTTTGTGAGAAATTAACATTAAGACCTCTGTTTTTATTTTCTTGTTCTAACTGTTAATTTGGGCAAGTTCACCCACCGTTCGAGAAAACATAAAAAAATCTCTTCAACAAATTGATCGCCACTGCGCCGCCGCAGAAGATGAACCTGCCGCCGGAGCTTCCATCGGTGGAGGAATGTGATCTGCCAATTGTCGAGGAATGGGCAACGAAGAGAGAGAATTTCGAGCACCATTTTCGGTGGACCCGCCGGAATCTTCGGAATCGCCGTCCCCGTCCTCTTCTCTTACGATGATTGGTTTGGTTCTAATTCCAAGTTCATTCCTTGTATTTGTGCCCTAATCAATTTATCGAATCAACGCCTTCCTGCTATTTATTTTTTGATTTTGGCAAATCCATATCTTTGTGATAGCAACAATAATGAAACCAAAGAAGATTTGGGGAAGATGGAACTAGCGAGTGGGAAAGAAGGCAAATGGTGGAAAAATTAACTAAAATGGGGGAGGAAAATTAAACTAAACCCAATAATAAATAAATAAAGGGGAAAAGACAATTTTGCCCCTGCATGTTTACACTTCTCGTGGATTTCGCCTGAAGATACCACTTTTTGGCAACTTGCAACAAAAAAAAATTGTTTGGGGGGCAATGTGCAATTTAGGGGGTAAATGGGCAAATATTCTCTTACTGAATCAACGAGCCTTGGCCCTCGATGTAATAATCCTCCGGGGATGTGATTGCAAGGTCCACAAAACAAGCAAAATTCGTGTCGCGGGCGTAGAGTAGATTATATAGCCCTACAGCTCCCCTCGATTTCCTGACCATCTCAATAGTCAGCGGCGGAGCCATAATTTTATTTTTGTATATCAAATATACAATAAATATATAAATAAATAGATTGATCGATTACCGTGAAAGTTCCAAGTCCTTCATCTCCGTAACCCAGCCTTTGTACCGAAGTTGCACGGTGACAACAGGTACCCCGATTAGTTCGTAGATGTTATCGAAGAATTGCGACTCCCTCCAATTTTTCGGGAGTAATCTTTTAATTCCGGGGACATCTAATGCTGCAACCACAAATATTTTTTTTATAGAATTTTGATAGAGTTTATATATAAAAAAAAAAAAAAATTAATGTTTAAATAATTTAAAAATATATAAAATTTATCGGAAAAAATACAGTTTTCTTCCTTCAAGTTTGCACCGATTTCACATTTGGTCCTTCATGTTCACAAAAAATACATTTGGTCCCTCATGTTACAAAATTTCAACACTTTTAGTCATTCCCGTTAAACTTCCGTTAGCACTAGCGGAATCAAGCGTGTGTGCCTTTCACTGACTTAAATGGCGGACTAACGGTAAATTGATGAAAATGACCAAAAATGTTAAATTATTGAAACATGAGGGACCAAATGGGGTTTTTGTAAACATGGGGACCAAATGTGAAATTAGTGCAAACTAATTGATGGGTGAAAATTGTAATTTTCCGAATTATTATCTGGCAATTTTAAAGTTTAAACCACAAACCTGCTACTAGGGGTGAAAATCGGAACAAAATTTCCGATTTCCGCCGAATCCGATCCGAAAAATTCCGATTTTGGAAGGATTTTTTCAATTCCGAATTCCGAAATTCCGAATTCCGAAATTTCCGAAAAAAATCGGATCGGAATCGGAAATACATAACAGAATTTCGGAATTTCCGAATTCCGATCCGAAATTATTTCCGATTATTTCCGATTATTTCCAAATATTTCCAATTATTATTATTATTATTATTAATATATATATATATATACACACACACACACTAAAAAGTAACACCGTACAAATATATTATTATTTATTACTTTATTTTCTAAACAATTAAAATGTAAAATCTAACCCTAATTGAATTAGCCTCGTTCTCATCTTCTCACCTCAATCCTCACGCCGCTCCCCACTATTTTCTCTGTTTTTTCTCTTCTCCCACCAACACCACCCTCGATTCTCCGTCAACCACCACCCGCTCCGCCTCTTCCTCTCCGCCGAGCACCAGCGCCGCCCTCTTCCTCTCCGTCGAGCACCAGCGCTGCCTCCGTCATTCTCTCCGCCTTGCACCGGCAACGCCGCCATCTTTCTCTCCACCGAAAACCAGCCCCGCCGCCCTCGTTCTCTCCGCCGAGCACAAGCCCCACCGCCCTCGTTCTCTCCGCCACGCCGGTCTCGTTCTCTCGACGAGCACAGCCCCGCCGCCCTTTATTCTGTTTTCATTTTTTTTCTTTTTTAAATCCGGATATTCCGAATATATTCCGAAAAAATTCCGAAAAAAATCCGAAAAATCCGAAAATGAATGATTCCGAAAAAATCCGATTTTCCGAAATTTCCGAAAAAATCGGAATCGGAATTGATTCTTGAATTCCGAAAAAATCGGAATCGGAATCGGAAGGCATTTTAGCCTTCTGGAAAAAATCGGAAATTTTCCGAAACACCCAAATCCGATCCGATCCGTCCGATTTCCACCCCTACCTGCTACACAAGCATCAGCTTCTACAGTTTTCTTTTGAGTAGCCTGAACAAAAAGTAGCATTATATTTAATACTACTAATAAGCGCACAAAAATACTATTAACGACGTCGAAAAATGTGATCGACGTCACGGTTCATGTATCGATCGATGTATTATAGTTCCCCAACATTTGAAAAAAAAAATCATTCTACGAATAAACTTCTAGTATATATATTTTCTTTTTATATAAATAATATAGTTTTTAGTGCTAATTTTACTCAATTAAATTATTTAATTGATGTATAAATAATGCACCGGAATCATTTTATACGTAGACATCATGTATGTATGTATGTATATATATATACCTTTGATGCGGCAAGCCCCGTCACATACAAACCTCCGTCAGTAGATCTATCGTAAAGGATTTGTCTGCATCCCCACCTCAAATGGAACCTTGCGCGGTAACAAACAGATAAAATAGCGATTTAATGGATAGATTAAACCGAGAACGAGAGTAAAAAAAAATTAAATTTAAATACAGTTAAACTTCTTAATACAGTCTGAAATAGTAAAATTCTATTAAATTATCGAATTAATAATTTAACATGTTGTCGCTGAGTTGGAGTCAAGAGAAAATATTATTCAAACAAAGTTATTAATTTATCGAGTTAAATTCAGTTAAATTCCCAGCTGGTAGAGTCTGAGGTTCTATATGTGGTATCAGAGCCAATGTCACGGGTTTGATTCCCAACTTCTGAGGTTCTATATGTGGTATCAGAGCCAATGTTACGGGTTTGATTCCCAACTGCAGTTATGGAAGGGAAGATTGTTAGCTTGGGTTTGGCAGCAATTTTCCCCACGTATCCTACAAAGTTTTTATACATTATGGTAGTTGAAAAAATTAAGTAAATCTCTATGAATTAATATATGAGAGTAACAAAATTCTATTAATTTAATAAAATATTAAATTATCAAACTAATATTTAATACGTTTTCACGGAATCGTAACCAAAAAAAGAAATTATTTAAGAGAGGTTATTAATTTATCAAAATTCTAATGTGGTAGTAACGAGTATTTCTTAGTTTGCGTATTAAAACCCCATAATGAATTATGACTAATTTAGATATTCAACCTGATAAGAAAATCAGTGAAAACAACTCAACATAATAAAAATAGAGCAAATTATCCAAACTAAATATGAAAAAAAATGCAAGATGCCTAAATAATCCAATTTAAAGAATAACCAATTCAACGTGCTGAGGAACTCGTGCTTCAAAGTGTTGCTTTGCTTTCTTTCTTACATTTTCTTGGAAATCTAACATATTATCAAGCATAATAAGGTTCGATGCTCCATAACACGGATCGACAATTACTTTCTCAAGCACAACACAGTTCTCCAAAATGTAGTCGACGAATCGAAGAAGACTAGTTCGACCAAAACCTCCGGAAAATTCAACCACTTTAAGGTGGTGGTGTGGAGACGACACTATGGCATCCTCCACTTCGTTATCTGTCCTCGGAATACACCCACTTTGATACTGCGTTAGGGAGAAAAAAAAAAATCACATACAGAAGAAGTTTGATAAATTAATAACCTCGCTTGAATATATATATATATATATATATATATATATATATATATATATTTTCTGGTTCGGACTCGGTGAAAAATATATTAAATTATTAGAATCTTGCTATATTAATAGAATTCTACTAGTCTTGAGACTGTATTAATTTATAGAGGTTTAATTTATAGAGGTTTAACTGTATATCGTAAAAAAAAACGTACCTTCAAAACAAATTCCTCCAAGAAAGGGGATGCCCTTATCAAATCGTAGAGTTGGAAAATAGTTTTGCGGCCCTTGTCAATATATTCTATGACCATCTTCTTCAGTTTAGGCAGTAGAGAAAGATTGTGGAGCTCGTGCATTCCCTGCATGCGAAATCAATCAAAAAATTAGTTAAGTAGTGCACCCGATTTTTTTTTTTTTAACAAAAATAAAAAATCAACCCGTGATTGAAACATCGTCAGACGAAGAGTCTCCAATCGCGAACTGGACGACAGTGTCGAAAACAAATGTGCCAAGGAAACATCATCGTCTTTGCACTGAGCAAGAATCTCGACCAGCATCGGCAAGTTCCCAACCAACAATCCATTGTACGTCGCGACCCAAAAACGAGCAAGGTTCGGCGCGGAAACCCTAAGCGATTTCAAACGCCTGCAGAAAACTATCTCCAAGTGTTTCAACGCGAGCGACGGGCCACAAATTTCGAGGTTCGACAGCGCCGGGGAGTTGAACACGATCAACTCTTCGAGCAGAGGACAGTTTCGCAAGAAGAAGTCAATATCCTTTTCGCTCACGCTAACGTCTTTAAAAGTCAACGCTCGGATTGACTTGAATCGGGAATCCCCCGCGACGAGAAGCTCCCTGGGGAGGCCGTACATGGAATTGTCGTACCAAGGTTCGAGGTTCAACTCCAGGCTATGAACTTGCCTGGCCAACGCGTACTCGAGCCATCGAGTGATTGGCTCCTCGTGTTGTAACCCTAGACAAGAACGGATTACGAACTCTTTCAAGACGAGACCTTTGTGCGATTCAAGGACTCGGTCCACCCAGCGCACGTACTCGCTACTCGTGTCGCGTCTGATTAACACTGTCCGAAACTCAAAGTGTTTCGTCTTGCGCAACGATGACCCACCGTCCATGTCTAGGTAGAGACGAGTGGTGTGTTTCCACAAGTTCGTCCAACGAGAAGAGAGAATGCTCGTGCGTGCGGATTCCTTTAGAGATAGGAAAGACAGGATTTCGACGAGGATTTCGTCGGGCAATCGACTTATCCGATCGTCTTCACGGCCAACGCATATCGTACCACACTATCAATTAACAAAAATATGTACGTATCGTCAATTACATGCATGCATATTCGTATCTACAAATTATATATAATTTACGAGTTCCAATTCGTGTTGTGTCATTCCACAAATTATACCCAGGGGAAATAAATTTTGTTTTCGGATAGAATTAACATCTATAATAAATAATAGAACATGAGAAATATTGAATAAAATCATATCGGCAAACAAAATTAATTATGGAGAATAATCCAAAATAAAAAAAAGAGAGAGAGAAAAAAGAGCATTAATTTTTGTATAAATCTCACCTTGGAATCCATGGAGCTTGAAAATTTTGGAGAGGAAAAAAAAATTTGTTAGGAAACCCTAAATTGATAGGGACAATAATTCAGTGACTTAATCAAGAACACTCGGAAACCCTAAACAAACTTAATAGGAATTTTAAAGATAAATCTACTAATTTTTAATTAATATAATTCAAAAATTAAAATAATTTTAAATAAAATATAGGGCGAATGGCAAAAAGGCCCATCACATGGGACTTAAATGCATTTTGGTACAAAAAAAAAAATAGTCTCTCAATTAAACCCATTCTCATGTCTTTAGTCTAAAATACCCTCCATAATATAATTCTTATCAATTCCATCCATTATGCTTTAACTTCCTTAATATTACACATTGACCCCGGATTTAAACAAATATATCACATTAACCCCCCAATTTTTTTTTCAGAAAATAATTTGTTTTCTGAAAAACAAAATTCCGGCTAGATTCCGGCGTTGAATTTTTTTTTTTTTTTTTTGAAAACTTTTTTTTTCCTGAATTTTTTTTTGCGACCGGTCAACCACCGTTGACCGCCAGTCTCCGGCGTTGACTTTTTTTTTTCTTAGAAAAAATATATTTTAATTAATATTACTGTCTTGGCTACTAAATTACTGTCTCAGACAATAATATTACTGTTTGGGACAGTTAAATTACTGTTGGATACAGTAATTTAGCAGCCAAGGCAGTAATATTAATTAAAATAATTTTTTTTAAGAAAAAAAAAGTCAATTAACAGTTAAATTACTGTCTCTGACCGTTAAATAACTGTTGGAGACAGTAATTTAGAACCGAATACAATAATATTAATTAAAAAATATATTTTTAAGAATAAAAAAGTCAATTAACAGTTAAATTACCGTCTTCGACAGTTAAATAACTCCTGGAGACAGTAATTTAGCAACGAATACAGTAATATTAATTAAAAATATTTTTTTTAAGAATAAAAATTCAATTAACAGTTAAATTACTGTCTCCGACAGTTAAATAACTGATGCGGACAGTAATTTAGCAACGAATACAGTAATATTAATTAAAATATTTTTGAAGAAAAAATAAATTAAAAAAAAAAAGTCAACGGCGGCGGCCGACGGTCTCCGGTGGTGGCGGGTCAAAATTGAAATTATGGTTAAAATTGGTTATTTGATGAAATTTGGCTAAATTGGGGTGTAAATCATGAAATTGGAGTTGAATTGGGTTTCAATGAATTAGGGGTAATTTTGGTATATATAAAGGGATTTTCCTTATTTGCAAATAAGTTTCAATGGGCTGTATTTATTTGAAAGACAAAAAAGTTGGATATCCCTCTTTTAATTAAGTGCCCTTGTCATGGGCCTATTTGCCCATAAATATATTGTGATGACGTGTGAAGGAAGAAAGGATCGATCACGTGACTTAGATCACATACAGTACGTAATTGGGGGAGAATTGAGGGCTCATAATTTTTGTTTAATCCCACTTTGCACCTTTGAAATATAGCATTTTTGGGCATTGCACTCTCGAAAAATTTAATAGCACTTTGCACCTAAAAACAAACAATAAATCTTGCATAACGCATCACAATGAAAATTTAAAGTTAATTTTATGATAATTTAATATTTTTAGTGATCGCTAGCTGTTTAGAATGCCAAATGTCAAATCATTTTTTTGTTGTCAAGATATTTGAAAATCATATTTTTTTTCCAAATATTTCTACCAAATATTTTCACCAATTACAATACAAGATCCATCAATAGAATAATTTAGTGATCAAATTTTATTTAATTTTATTGTGTAAGTTTCGCACTTTGTACGATCGAAATACCCTCCTTTTAGTATGCATATAAGTTATAACAACACGAATGAGTGTTTTCCACATTTATTCACCCGAATGTAGACTTTTTACGACCATATGAACTAAACCACATTTCCCGCCAAAATGCACATTGTAATATTAATATATACATTTGTGAACAGTTTTAAAAAATACATGTATACATACACTTACTCAATTCATGTTTTCTTTGTGTATCTAAAAGTTATTTGCATTTTGTACGTATATATAGTTCATCGGCACACGATTTTTTATGGGAATTGTGATAATCAAACCAGGGCGAACTCGTCCGAGGTGGCTAAGACGGCCTTTCGTAATGCGATCAAATCTTGTCCAGCATCGCATATGTAGGCAGATGCATGTCTGCCGGACAGAGTCGCTCCTTCCATGCTGTCTATGAAATCCTGTCAAAAACACATTTTTTTAAAATTAAATTGTTTAGCATTGTATTAGTTGCGGTCTGTATCGAGTTTATTGCAATTAGTACCTCTGCATGTGTAATATCGAATTTCTGAAAAACTACCCAACGTTATTAAATTGACAAAAAAACTCTCTATGATTCATTTTAATAATTAGTACCCTATTTAGGATTATTTAGGGGATTGTGTGTTAATTGAATCATAGGGGGGGTTTTATCAATAAAATAAGATAGAGTTATTTTTAGCAATTCGATATAACACATGGTTTATTGCAATCAGTGCCCCTGTTTAATATCAAATTGCTGAAAAACTACTCGATGTTATTTTATTGGCAAAACACTCCCTATGATTCTTTTTAGCAATTAGTACCCCGTTTAGGGGATTGTGTGCTAAAAAGAATTGAATCATAGGGGGATTTTGTCATAAAGTAACATAAGGTAGTCATTTAGCAATTCGATATAACACCTGATTTTTTTCTATCAAGAAGTGGTAACTAATTTAAAATATTGATGTGCATTGTGATCACCTGTTTTGTGTATGAGCCAGCAAGGAAGAAGTTCTTGACCGGAGTCTTCTGGTCAGGTCTGAACGGATCTTTGCCCGGCCCTTCGCGGTATAACGACTGCCCGAGTTTTACAACTGATGCCCGTATTATTTCCAATCCTTGGGCAGATGGGCACAACTCCAGTACCTAATAAGTATATCTCGTATTTCATTATAATTAATACATGTTGAATGTACTTTGATGATGCCGTTCGTGTAGTCGTGAATCGGATATTCTTTTCGAGAATGTTCGAAATTTAATGCGTAAAAAAATTATTAACAACAAATAGTAAATGTTCTTTTTGCAAGGAGTCAAATGAAATACAAGACGCAACACGCCATTAATTGTTGAAAATTATTCCCTCCGTACCAATTTAAATGTCTTTTCGGGTTGTTGCGCATATATTAAGAAATTCAATAAATATGCATAGATTATAAGTAAAAAGAAAATTATAAAAATTACTAAAATACCCTTGACATTAAATTAACTAAGAATGATAAATGGTAAAATTGAAAATAATGCAATTAATGTTTCAGTGAAATCTAAAATGACAAATAATTTGAGGAAAAAAAAAAGTCATCTGAAAAGAAAAAATATTATGAGACACAGGCAGTACTAAGTAACGCCAACCTGTTTTGAAATTCTAGTCGTAATTTCGTCGTTTGATAGAGGCATGTACGGGTCTCCGGGTGTAATAATACATCTGTAATTAAACATAATATTAAATAAAATTGCTGATATTATTAGTCCTCTTAGTAATTATGGGCAAATATTCGCTTACTGAATCAATGAGCCTTGGCCCTCGATGTAATAATCCTCCGGAGATGTGATTGCAAGGTCCGCAAAACAAGCGAAATCCGCATCGGGAGCATAGAGTAGATTATCGAGCCCTACGGCTCCCCTCGATTTCCTGACCATCTCAATAGTCAGTGGCGGAGCCAGAATTTTATTTTTGTACATCAAATATACAATAAATATATAAATAAATAGATTGATAACTAAGGTATAAATATTGTAAAAGTTTAGTGTTCGATTCACCGTGAAAGTTCCAAGTCTTTCATCTCCGTAACCCAACCATTGTACCGCAGTTGCACGGTGACAACGGGTACTCCGATTAGTTTGTAGATATTATCGAAGAATTGCGACTCCCTCCAATTTTTCGGGAGTAATCTTTTAATTCCAGGGACATCTAATGCTGCAACCACAAATAATTTTTTTATAGAATTTTGATAGAGTTTATAGAAAAAGAAATTTCAATGTTTAAATAATTGTAAAAAAAGATAAAATATTAAATCTGGCAAATTAATTTAAACCACAAACCTGCTACATAAGCATCAGCTTCTACAGTTTTCTTTTGAGTAGCCTGAACAAAAAGTAGCATTATATTTGATAATAACCGCGCAAAAATATCATTAACGACGTCGAAAAATGTGATCGACGTCACAATTCATGTATTCGATCGATGTATTATAATTCCCCAAAAAAATTCATTCTACGTATAAACTTCTATTATATATGTTTTTTTTATATAACATATGCTAATTTTACTCAATTCGATTATTAAATTGACGTATAAATAATTCACCGGAATCATTTTTTACGTATAAAGCATGTACGTATATATGTATATATACCTTTGATACCGCAAGCCCCGTCACATACAAATCTCCGTCGTCAGATCTATCGTAAAGGATTTCTCTGCATCCCCACCTCAAATGGAACCTTGCGTGGCAACAAACATATAATAGATCGATTTAATCGATAGATTAAACCGAAAACGGGAGTAAAAAATATTTAGATGTAATACAGTTAAACTTCTCTAAATCAATAGAGTATGAAGCAGTAAAATTCTACTAAATTATCGAATTAATAATTTAGCATGTTGCCACTGAGTTGGAACAGAGAGGAAATATTATTCAAACAACGTTATTAATTTATCGACTTTATACAGTATATATGCCACTCACCTGCCTCCCCTTTCGATGATATATTGTTGAATGGGATCATTTAAATAAGTTTCCGGGGAGCCTTTAAGCATCCGAAGTAATGAAGCCTCGGTTTTAGTAGCCAAAAGTGAAAATATAGTCAACATACAACGCGCGCTAATGTTATCACTATCGAGGAAGCCGAGGGAACACGCAACAGTATCCCACAATCTGTCGATACTGTTGCGGGTCCCTCCTTTCGACAAGAACCATTCGGAGAAGCTCACCTGTTGTAAAATACACAGCGCCGGATTTAATAGAAGATCAATATTGTTACGTTGCTCGCTTATTGAATTATACAATTGAAATATCAATTTTTATTAGTGGTGGAAATAGGACGAATCAGATCCAAATTAGCAGTTTCAGAAAAAAAATTCAAATTTTTTAAGAAGTGAAAAAACTAATTCCAATTTCGTTCCGAAAAAGAAATTTGGAAATCGGGAATTTTGGGTATTGGAGTAAAGAAAATTGTTCCCAAATTGAAAAATTTCGGATAAAAAATCAACTAGACTCGAGAAATTCAAATTTATTTATTAGCCTAAAATGTAAAACACATTAATGATATTTTAAGTGTACTTTTTTTAATGGAATTTTCGAAATTATTTTCAGAAATCAACATTGGATCGGAGTCTCATATATATTCCAATTACTGTCAAAATAATTTCAAAAAAAATGGAATTCGGAAATTTTGAAATTCAAAATGAATTTTTTTTATTCCAAAATCGAAAATTTTATTGAGAGAGAAAGAAAACAAACATTATCGAGATCTCGTATGTTGTGCATTGCTCCGTCGATATCAAGGAGAGCCTTTGCAATCGGACTGAGGCCGAAAGCCATAGCGATTCCTGCTTTATCATTATTCTGAAATTCAGAGCGGGAAATGCATTTAGAAATTCATATAAACGTTAAACAAAAACAATTTTTGGAGAAGGATGATTTTTTTTTTTTAATATTTTTAAATTGCCAAATATAGTCTAGGATTTTAAAACAAGTTTATAGAAATTGCATTTTAGTCGGTTTAGTTAGACTTATTGTATTTTAATAGTTTATAGAAATTTTTATAGTCCTATGGTGCTTTTATAGTGGAAATTAAAATTACTGTCAAAACTTTTAATAGTTGCTCGTTTTCTTTTGTTATACGGCATTGTAATCAATTTGCTCACTTCCTTGCGAGGGATTCAGACTTAGGTTGTCTGGAGGGTTCATCTGTACCTCCCAACTTGGCGTGTTATGCCTAATATATGCTCATCGTTTTTGACTTTTTTCTTTAAACAAAAAAATTTATACTTATTGTATTTTAATCCTTTTAGTTAGACTTTTGCCTTTCATATTAGTATAAATAGCACTTAAACCCCTTGTGGTAACAAGCTTTTGCAGATGACCCCCTTGTGTTTGTAACATCAGCAAATAACAAATAACGCCCTTGTGGTTGATGTGGTAGCTTTTGTTATGTTTTTCCGTCAAATTTAACCACCTGACTTAACTGCATGTGTTGAACGTCAAAGTAATTTTTTTGTAGATGACCCCCTTCAAATTTGTCACACGCAATTCAGTTTGACGAAAAAACTAACAAACGCTACACTCCATAAATCGCAAGGGGATTATGTGCTAATAATACGAACACAGGGGGATCAAAAGCTTGTAACCAGAGGATGGTTTACTCCTATTTATCCTTTAAATAATTTTTTCTTTCTTTTTTGAATGTTACCGGCGCAATGCACCACGCTTAAATATTTTAATATTTTACATATATATGTTTAAATATTTATTGGAAATCATTAATTAGTATGTACCTCAAGCTGATTTGTCTTCATAATTCCTTGAATTCCATGAAATGGTGCTCCAATTGGGAACCGAAAATCAATTTCTGCGTGCAACAATTTTAGTACATGTTACCTTCAATTGAATTAAATGCAAATTAATAATGTACTTTGCGAAATTAGCTAATTATATCTGAAGTATGGTTTATTTGATACTGCAGTGGGTGAAACACATAGGGTGATTAGTAATCGTTAATCTGCATATAATTATTATATATATATATATATATATATATATATATATATATATATATATATATATATATATGTTTAGTGGATAATTATTTAATCACATCAATAGTTAAAAATCTCCTGATATAGCATGTCAATAACGAGTATTAATCATACCGCGAACATCGCCACCTTTATTCACAAAAATATTAGTATGATCCTTGACTAGGAAATTTTTGTCAGCACCAACCTGATTCAAACAAAATAAAAAATAAAAAATAATAGTTTATCAACTTGTATCCAAAATAAAAATAAAAACATATATATAAAAAAAAAATTCAATTTATTGTAAAGAAAATAAAATAAAGAAGCCCTAATTAATGAATGAATGAATTATTTATACCTTTCTCATCAAACGGAAAAGATTGCTATAGCAGCCAAAGAAAACATGGAGACCCATTTCTATGTGGTTCCCGCGTTTGTCTACATACGAACCCACTTTTCCGCCAACGGAGCTTCGTTTATCGTATATATCCACCTGCATTCGAATATATCCATAACCGGTTGTCGGGTCAAAAAGAAAGAAAACAAAAACTAATATATTAATATTGGGTAAGTTTGGGTCGGGTCGGAATGAAAATAAATTAAACCTCATGGCCCTGATCCAAAAGTTCGATTGCCGCTGACATGCCGGCGAGCCCAGCTCCGATGATAGCTACCTTGAGCTTTGGTCCTCCATATTTTTCAGGCTCCGGTGGGAATATACCTTTTGGAGCTGCAAAAGGAAATATATTCGGGGAATTAGATGCTACACCTAGTTATTTTTTATACTGGATGAGTGTTAACTATAGATGAGGTTAAATAATTAACCTCCAACTAAGGAGACATACACATGGGTGCTAATGAGATTATGTGCAGATCTACGGATAACAATCATTTGGTGTAAATCACCATGTGTAACATCTAATTTTCCGAAAGAACTCGTCAAGAAAGTGTTTTATGCGAATTCGTCGGGGAAAAAAAGGTGTCAAAAATCTTTAAATATTCAAAGAAGAAAAAAAATATCTATTACATATATGTTTTTCTTCTGAAGTGTCGCTTTAACCTTATATGTTTTTTCACGTATTAAGTGTCACTTTAGAGTTGCAAGACAATATTAATTAACTAATGAATTAATTAATTATGTTTTCCCAACTCTACCCTAACGGTAATGATAAATTAATGAAACGAGAAAGAGAAGACGAAAATTCGTAAATGGATCGGATAATTTGGTCAAATAATTAAATAAGGACTTTTGATCACAAATCAAGACCGTTTAATAATTTTCTTAGTTAGTATGCTGAAGATACCTTAAACGACACTTAAAAAAATCGGAAGTAGTACGTAAAAACATATTTTTATTATCAAAACCTACCTATACGATTTGAATTCTTAGCAAATTAATCCCTAAAAAAACTAATCACTTATAGGTTGAGCACTAAAAAATATGCATCATAAATTTTTTGTTGCTAAATATTAATTAGTAATATTAGGAGTTTTTAGTTAGTAATTCAAAATTACACAAACTTCGTTTACAATTCATTAAAAAAAATAAAAAAGAAACATGATGAAGAGAGAGAGAGAGAGAGAGAGAGAGAGAGAGAGAGAGAGACCATGAGTGGTCATATCGCAGACATTAGATTCGAGATCGGAGCGAAGAGTTAGGTGACGTGGAGGCCTGTGTAAATGGATAGTAGATGATGACCCGATTCGCATATTTCCATTAATGGTCTGCAGAAAGCACAGAGAAGAAGAAGAAGCACAAGTAGCAGCAGCCATGCATACATACATACATGCACCACTTTTCTCTTTGTTTCTTGAAAATGGAGAAAGACTGCTTACTATAAATAGTAAATTAAAACCAGACCAAGTCTTAGTAAGGAAGATGATCTTTTAATGGAAGTGATCTGTGGGTCCCACCTTTCAACTTCCCACATGATTTTTGTGCCACCCAAAATGTCTACTGGTATTATTATTATTATGGCCAAACCGCAAAAAGGCAAATGATAACGGACTTAAATACAAATACACATTGGTAAAAAAGTAAAGTCTTTTAAATAAATTCATTCCCATGTCTTCAGTCTAAAATACCATTCATAATATATTATTTTATCAATTCTATGCATAATACTCTAACTTTCTTAGACAAATATATCACATTAACCCCTATTATTCGGGAAAATAATATTATGAATATTATTTTCCCGAACACTAATATTACTAATATTATTGCATGAGACATTAATATTACGGTCGGAGACAGTAATATAACAGTCGAAGACAGCAAAATTGCAGGTAAAGAAGATAAAATTAATTAATACCGTAAAATTATTGTCTCAGTTAAATTACTGTTGGAGACAGTAATTTAGCACTCAAGACAGTAATATTAATTAAAATATTTTTTTTAAGAAAACAAAAATTCGAAAAAAAAAGTCTATTAACAGTTCAATTACTATCTCCGATAATTAAATTATTGTTGGAGATAGTAACTTAGCAGCCAATACAGTAATATTAATTAAAATAATTTTTTTAAGAAAAAAAAAATCAATTAACAGGTAAATTACTCTCTCCAACAGTTAAATAACTGCTGGAGACAGTAATTTAGCAGCCAAGACAGTAATATTAATGAAAATATTTTTTTTTTAGAAAAAACAAAATAAAAAAGTCAACGCCGGAGACCGGCGGTCTCTGGTGGTGGCGGGTCAAAATTGGGGTGTAAATCATGAAATTGGAGTTGAATTGACTTTCAATGAATTGGGGGTAATTTTGGTATATATAAAAGAGTTTTTCTTATTTGCAAATAAATTTGAATGAACTGGAAATATTCGAAAGAGAAAAAAGTTGGATGTCCTTTTTTTTAATTAAGTGCCCTTGTCATGGGCCTCCATTAACCCTGTTATTATTAGGGTAAATCATAAAGAAAGCTCTGAACTTAGATTAAATTACGAAAAACACTTCCACCTATTCAAAATTATCAAAGTTCCCCGACGTTTGTTTCCGTCTAACACCGACCCTTTATGGTGAATTTCCACATAATCATTTTGAGTCGTGGAATCTTTTGCTACTTTTCTAAAGACAAAAATTACCTCTAAGAGGGATCTTTACACGGAATCTTTATTCTTCTTAAATAACACTTTCACACTTTTTAGCTTTTTTTTTAATAAACTTTTTGGTATTACAGTTACCTATTTGAAAGTATTTTTTATCTTTTAGAAGTAGCATAAAGAAATGACACGTCGACGGCGGTAGAATTGGCATTTGTTGGGGCAATACTCCATGGAATCAAAAATATTATGTGAAAAATTACACCTTAAGGAGGTCGGTGTAAGCCAAAAACAAACGTCGGGGGGAATTTTGATAATCTATGAATAGGTGGGGGTGTTATTCGTAATTTAGCCAAGTTCAGGGTTTTTTTTTTTTGGTAATTTACTGTTATTATTATGGGGTCATTAGCAATAACCCCTCATATAGATAAAAAAAATTGTGATATGTCCATACCATAATTCTTTCTTTGTGATAACCCCTAGAATATGTATTCCCAATATTGCCCTTGCAGCAATTATCATGATTTGTAACACCCAACCATAATATTCAAAATCCCTAATAATATGAGCGCCTAAATTCATATTAATTAGCATTAATATATGCTTTTGTAACACCCAACCATAATTTTCGAAATCCCTAATAACATGGAGCCTAGCTAATTTCCTATTAATTAGCATTAATATATGTTTTTCTATCAAAACTGCTTACATATTTAATAATTAAAAAAAATCAAATTACATAAAATTCATTAAAGAAGACGCACGAAAGT